ATAAACTGCTTTTTGCCATATAAAACTGTACGGGTTTTTAGTTTATAAAACAAAATAAGTTCAAATTGTTGAGTAATTTTTCTTCGGTTTTCAAATGAATTTGCTCTCCTTTACATTTTACCTTTTATTCCAAAATTAGGATAATTTACAGGGTAATTTAGCAAACTTTAATACAGCTTCATTGAAAAGGAAAGCAGTGCATGTTTTATGCAATAAATTAAAGCAACAAAATTCATAAACATTAAACATTCAAAGCAAACTTGCCCTATATTCCACGATTTTCCACAGTAAATCAATTCTTCTCATTTCTTCAAACAAAAATTGCTTCAAAGCTCATTGTGTGAAACGTGATTTTCCAAATATATGCCTTTGAAAATCGAAATCGAAATCTTGTTTATCCCACTCCTGGCAAACAGCCATATTTTTGAGATCAGTGAGGATGACCACCCACGGTTGGTGATCCACGCCCGCGATCATTGATGAACTTTAGACTTCGCCAATGCTTCCCTTCCCCGGGTGTAAATAGCTGGGTGGAATTAGTAACCTCGCACGGCGCTTCGCGCCGTCGGCTCGGGGATAAACATTGTTAAGATTCATATCGACGGAGGGCCCAGTGCAACATTCTCCCAACTTTGTAAGGGTCACAGGAGATACTGAGCTGGAATTACTGAAACCTTCTACGAAGGAGATTGTATCATACACTGGAGAGCGACACAACATAACTGCAAAGGTCACACTTCCTGTATGGCGTGCGGGAAAAAAGCAACTAATTCGATATTATTGATGGTGACTATCGACCAATTCTATCTCCAGATACCAGGTAGCTTTGGGTATTGTAAACCTGCGACATTGTGACATCCTATCTCTGGGTATCCAACCCCCTAAAGACCCAGCAAGGGAATACAAGGACGTGTTCAATGGTTCATCAGGTAAAATACCAGACACATACAAGATTGTGGTCGACAGCGCTGCGCAACCTGCAGTCCACCCGCCACGACGAGTGTCAGAGGCCTTGGGTTCACGTATAAAATCGGAACTGGATAAGTTAGTTGAACGTAAAGTGATCGTTCCAGTGACCAAACCAACACAGTAGGTGTCAAGGATCCACGTGATCTTAACCGTCCAATAAACACGAAGCTCTAGGAAGATGTTCTGTGACTGGTTGATTGTAACAACGACAGAAGTACAGTTTGCGATGCAAAAGATGGATTCCGTCAGGTACAACTCGATGAAGACTCAAGTTATCTAACCACATTTAACACTAGCTTTGGTAGGTACGATTTCGATGGATTCGATCGGCACTTGGAATTTCGAGTGCTCCCGAGGTTTGGCAGCCTCGCCTGCACGAGTTTGTAGAAGGTTTAGAAGGTGTCAAAGTGAGGAAGACTTTCTCATTGCTGATTTTAGGAATACTGAAGAAGAGGTCAATGCGAGCTTAGAAAGGAATGAACGGGTGTTCATATGGAACATTTTCGAGAATGGAACTTGAAGTTCGGAGTGGGCTCTTCGAAGTTCAAGAGTTGTCAAAAGTTACATCGAAAACTGTCATCACTGCATGAAAAGTCCAATTTGCTAGACACGAAACTCCGGATACCCTAATATCCTATCATGGCCCTCAATTTGCGTCAGCGAAATTTGCCCAGTTTACAAAAGAGTGGCAAATTGAACACCGAACATCGAGCCCACACTCTTCTCAATCTAATGAACGTGTTGAAAATGCAGTAAAAACCTGTAAATCCCTATTAAAGAAAGCAGAAGCCAGCGGTGAAGATCCTCTATTAGCATTATTAGATTGGAGGAACACCCCGACTGAAAATATGGGAACCTCACCAGTGCAAAGATTAATGGTTTGAC